CTTATTCATTTATATGATTTGTAGCCTCTGAATACAGCACAGAGGAACAGGAGAGGAATAATCTACTGAACGCTCTCAAGTCTTACAAAGGACACACTGTGAGTGTTGGGGTTTTAAAAAAAATTGTTTTAGTGAAGGTGTCACTAATTAAATATAGTTTTAAGTGACAGTAAACATCATCCAATAAGACATCTTTACCAGACAATAGGTAATTAAATGGATGAATACAATCATCCAAAGCTACATTATATGTTAAATCAGTAAAAGAATAGGTTTTCCCTTCTAATGTAAAAGCTATGAATAAAGATGATTTAGCCAAGAAACTTTGAGATAAGTTTTTCATTTGGAAATGCAGACAATTTTTGAGACCAACACATCCTCCAAGAACAGAGGCTTTGACGTGATGAAGCAGAAAAGAGCCTTTCACCAGACGACCATTCAGAGAAGAAATGAGCAGACGTCAGAATCCATGGAGACAGAAGCAGACGACAGTGATGGGGCTGAGTCAGAGCAGGAGATGGCAGATGAGGACAATGTACAGGTATATGTGTACCAGAATTATTTAGAGTTACTCCCCTTTAGCTGCACAAATTACCAGAAAGCATTGTCCATCGACATTTAATTAAGGATCCTAAATTAAAATTTATGTGCACAGTATTTCAGTTCCTAATGAAATGTTATCTTTTGAATGTCCCAGTAGAGCAGTGGTAGCACAGTTGCTTCTTCACTATTGCCACACAAATCAATCATTAGATTGAGCAGGGTGGTAGAAAGGGTATGGTGGTCCCCTTGCTCAGATATAGGGATTTTCTCGATATAGCTTTTGCCTACTCTGTGGCCCCTTATGCTAATGTATAAACAAATAAAGAGGGTTCACCATAAGTTTTTAAATATTGTAAACTGATCATCATTTTATTTTTACACTTTTTTGAAAATTTTTGTGCGTATTTTCTGTTTTCAAATAGGAAACATTTCGAACTGTCATTGGAGGAAAAAGGAAGGCCAACAATTGGGTGTTCGATCCTGAGAGAAAAAAGAAGCATAAAAAAGAAAACATACGAGATGAAGAAAATTACTTACATTATCGCCCCAAAGATTTTCAGTCAGAGCTAGGGTAAATGAATAAAGTTATATACATGTGTAAACTAAAGATACAAAAAATTACAATTTACTTAGGATGCTAAGTGTAATAAGATTTCTTTAAAAAAAAAAGTAGCACTGAAACTTATATGTGTCCTGATCTTTTAAATAACTTTCAATTTGAAATAAATTTAAAGGGAAAAAACCCAACATCACTACATGTACAAAGTGTTTTGGGTATAAGTTCTGAAAGATTGTGCTTTTTTAAAGGTTGAGTCTGGGAACTTCTTTTGACAAGGAGGCCTCAGGAGCCATGTTAGATTTGTGTGATGAAATAAACAAAACCAAAACTACAGCTTCAACAAGATGGTGAGATGTCAAATTTCAACCATTTTTTTTAAAGAAAATTGTTTCATACAGTGTTTTTTTCATGAAAGAGGAAAATATACACTATGCACATTTTTCTTTAGGGATAGAAAGAAGAAGAAATTTGTTAGTACCAATGAACAGGCAGCGAACAAGAAGAAGATTAGAACAGAGAGTGGAGCACTGATATCAGCCTCCTACAAATCTAGAGCATATCCTTAATAGCACAAGACCATGTCTGTGTTCTTGTTATCAGAGTCAACATCAATAGTGCCAATTGATCAAAGATTACTGTAAAAATGGAAATCTTAAAAATTGTGCAAGAATTTTATAGTTTCAATGAAAAACTGGTTGAAGCAAGTTAAGATTGGGATTTCATACAAGAAAAGCACATTTAATAGTGTATTTTATTCTTTCTCACAATGATTTCAAGCCATTTTCTCTTAGCTTTTGAGGTCCTGAGACAGTTTAATGTACTTGTATTTAATTTTATAATTGTTTCCTTAACTGCTGCTTACTTACAAAGACTGGCTAGATAGAAACAAAATGGCTACAGCTAATGAGAGTGGGGATGAAGAGGAAGAAACCAGCAATAGGAAGAGGGAACCAGACAACAGCAACAGGTTAAAGGTCATAGGAACCAAGCGAAGGAACTGTAAGTAGTGGGAAAAAAAATTATTCCTTTAACAAAATTACATATACTGTATAGGGGATTAATTTCACAGGTTGTAATTTTCACGTTTTTCTCTCATCTGACACGATCGCAGTTTCTTGAATTCGCGGAATTTGGTATGTAATAAAAGTAACTTCCCTTGTATCCATTTAATCCATACCATTGCTACATGTAAACGACATAAATCAGCGTTATGTCTTTATTTCACGAACAACAGGGTAAGTTATTATAAAATTGTTAGATTTTATAAACAATTAATTAACACAAGTGCAGATAAAAAATAGTCCCTAAATGTTAAATGACTCTTATATGCTATTACGATGAGTGCATGTGCACCCGATTACGATGAGTGCATGTGCACCCGAGATATTCAATACAACTCAGCGAAAAACCACTGGACGGAAAGAAAAAAACTTTTTATGTAGTTCTACGAAATAATATCCTTCCACACCTCCTTTGTCAGTAGGTTCGATATTTATTTGAATGATTTCAAAATGTCGATAAAAACTACATGAACTAATACGCATGAGAATGCAGGTAACAAATACACGTGGTAACATTAGTTACGCAAGGGTAATCAAAACCCATGGCCCACGAGTTTTGATTGATGAAACATGTAGCGTTGGCTATTAAAACAGCTTTTGAACAAACACAAATTATTATCTGCCGATTTTAATTAAAGTAAAGCGTGATAATTAAAATTAATTGAATGACAGTACTAATCGCAATTACTGAAATGACCATGGACTGCACGTACACCTATATAAATCTATCGTAGTCTATTCTCAAATTTCACGGATTTGTTAACACCGTGAATATAGCGAATATTAACACCGCGAGTTATTTTCCCCCTATACAGTATTTGGTTAGTGAAATAAATTTGTCAGTATATATCTATCATATATCAACAAACAGTTACAATGATTTAAAAAGGGCTTTTTTACTATCTAAGGGCATACAAAAGTCAAAGAGGACAACAACAAAAAGGGAAGTCGAGGAGAACTGAAGCACCCAGAGCAAATTCTCAAACAGCGAAAGCTGAAAGCCAAAAAACAGGCATTTCAGAAAAACCGACATAAACAAAAACAGTCTCGCAGAAACTTCAAGGCTCAGAGAGCTAAAAAGAAACATTGAGAGCAATCATCATTTGTGTTCTGTTATTATTGTATTAAAAGTTTACCATACATTCTTTAGTGTTTTTTATAGATATCAATTTACAGAAGGTATACAGATATATCTGATGAACTTGAAGAAAGGATCTTGTAGTGTGTCCTAAAATGGGAGAAATTGATCAAAGCTTTATATAAAGATGATTTTGAAATTGAATGGTTTTTGAGGACTGTCTGACATACAGTTTTTATCTGAAAAAAAAGCACTGTTATAAAAATCTAGCCTATTAAAATGAAGAATATTATGTTGCTGGAATTCAAGCAGGGGAATTTTGTAATTGTCAATTCAACCCTCTCTCACCATAGATCTGAAGATTTAAAGATTTCAAAATATAAAAAATGCAATTTAGGGATGTTTTGAAGAAGATAATCTTCCTCACTTTTTGGATTACTGTTTTTGATCTACTAGTAGTTGAAATGCAGGAGTGTACGTGGGCCTTATAGGTCAGCTAAGTATGTAACAACTCTCCTAGAATTGAATTGGGCTCATCTTTTAAACCAGAGGCCACAAAATAAAAAAAAAAATTGAGACATGATTAATTAAAGAGATTTATCATAACCTATGCACTTAGTCTGTTTATTTAATACACAGAAGCAGAGCAAAGGATTATTAAAGAAATTGTGCATTTCACTAGATAATCATTAGAACCTGTACCCTATAGGAACCCCTGACCCTGGGCCACAGTCATTTCACAATTTTGAATAGGGTCCCTTGCTCATCATTACTTTGCATTTAGTTTGTTTCTCAATAAAAAGAGAAGATTTTCAAAGGATTAAATAAATAATTCAGTTTCACTATATAGTCAAAAGAGTTCTATTCACTGACCTTGGAGCCACATATTTCACAATTTTGAAAGAGGCGCACCCTTGTTCATCATTGCCATTCACTAAACTGTATACAGGGTTATCTTCGCCTATTATTTTCGTCTTTCACATTTGCAAACAATTTTGCTCTGTTTTAAATTCACCCAGTCACAATTCTGTTCAAGAAATGATGCTTTTTTTTTTAATTTGCCCCGTTTTAATTTCGCCCACCTATGAGTAGGGCGTACGGGACGAAAATAAAACGGGCGAAAATTCCCCTGTATGCAGTACATGTATATAGTTCATTGGCTTAATACCCAGGAGAAGAGGAGATTTTCAAAGAATAAAATTAATGTATTTTCACTTAATTATCCTCTAATCCAGGGGCCAGGAAATTCATATTTTTTAATGATGCCCACCCTCATGCTTGTTTGCCTAATACCCACAAGCAGAGGAAACTTCCAAAAGTAGCTCATATGTATGTAAAGGTTCTCACGTGGTACATCAAGTGTGTTAATTATGAACACTTGGATGAATTATGATGATATAATTCAGTCAGGGGTTCCAGATTTACAGGATGCATCATAAAGGTCTTGGTCTACAGAACAGAAATATGTCATTTTGATATTCAGTTGAAGTCCCTTTAGGCTATTTTCCTTTTTGAAAAGGGGCGAGGGTGACTCAGGTGAACGTTGAGGCCAATGGGTCTCTTTTTTTCTTCATGCAATATCTGATAAGCAGCTTCTCTAAATATACTTTTGAAATAAATAGGGTATAAATAAGTATGCCTGATGAGAGTTTCATTCATAGAAGCGCAGACATTAAGCGCCAGTGCGTACTATTATATTTTTTCCTCGGATGCGATCACGCATCAATTCTATGGTCGCATTACAGATTGTCAACACATGCGCAATATTGCAGTCGGCCATTTTAATTTTAAACGATTAAAAATATATTTAGAAATCGATCATTTTTAATGGACAGGCCTGAGTGCCATATTGAATTCTTTATCATTATGCATAAATAGGATTAAATCATTGTTTATTTATATAGGTAGGTATACTCTCCCGTAGGTGTATGTAAACAGTATGGGGCACCTGCTAGAAGACGGGGACACTGTTGTTTTGATTTGTTCAGCTGATTTGTCATGTAAAAGTGAATGACACTTACTAATATTTAAAATAAGCGATGCCTTATATGATGTTTATTTTCATGGCCTGGCATTTTGAGCGTGTCTTCTGCGAAGTCCGCGTTTACAATTTACCGTCAAATAGTAACCCCAGGCTGTTTCATTTTATGGACATTAAAAGTAGGTCATCTGTTTTATTGAACAGAAGTTTGATGTAACAGCTGTTGATAATGGTTTTGATGGAGTGTAATATGATCAATAATTTATTTTGTACAATAATAACCATTTGAAATGTTTTGATGTTTCAGTTAGCAGTCATCATGCAGAACTTTCTAAACCTTGGGATTGGATAACGGAATTGTAGTGTTGAACCATGGATCCCTCCAATGGAGGCCAGAATGCAATGTCTAATGACCCTGGTCTGTATGGTCAACAGACCGCCCTGGCCAGTGCTGGGATGTACAATCAGATGATGATGGGTGGGTACAGCACAAACGCAGGATCCGGAGTGGAAAGATTATCCGTGCAATGTGATATGGTGAATTCACAAGTGAATGTTTTGCCATCCATGGGAACGTTTATTGGTCAGCCCAGTTATTCTAATTGTCTTACAATGCAAGGCCAGCAATCGCCACATATTGCACGACTGGGCATGCAGAACCTCCCAGCTTATCCCAACATGGCCCAGAATGTGTGTGTTCCATCAAATAATACGCTACCAAGTTTTGGACATTGCTTTTTAACCCCATCTTTCAATCAACAGCAAACACAGCTTCCTCAACAAGTTTTTAACACAAACCAAGACAGAATGACCGGTGGATTTCATGTGATTTCTAACCATATGCCGAGCATGGCAATGACTATGACATCAACTGCAAATCCAATATATATGTCTGGTACGACTTTGATAAATAATAGTGCTTATGTTCCAAAATCTAGTGCTACTGAAAGTTTATGTGCTACGATAGCCAGTTCAGTGAGTAAACAGAGTCAAAATACAAGTGTTTACAATGTGATCTCAAGCATGCCGCAGAAGACGTTTCCTCAGCGACAGAAATCTCGGGAGTCGGTGGAGGAAAATGTGGTCTCTTCAACTTGTTCAACGTTAACTTCTCCTGTTGTTCCAGTACCTCCTGCAATGGAGGTTCCATCTCAAAACCAGATGGATGTGACTGAAGAAAATGTGAATATAAAATCAAGCGAAGGAGTGCTGCAGCATATCACGCCAAAAGTTAGTGTTGACAAAGTTTGTGACAAAATTCCGGAGCAAGAGTTTGCCCCTGAAACAGATCTGACACTTAGTGTGAAAGAAGAGACGGCTCAGGTTGTGGTCCCTTTGGGATGGAGAAGAGAGAAAAAAGATGGTGCTATTGTTTATTACAGGTATGAGGAGGAAAAATGTGACAATTAAAGTATAATGCTGTGGAATCGTTTCAATGTTCATAGGCAGGCAAAATTTTACATGTGGTGTGGACGTTATTTCCTGGGTTACTCGTTTATATGGTAGATTCTGATCAATAAGTCATTATGTTATACAGTGATAAAATAAATTATCATGGAGATGTAAATTCATGGATAAAGGTGACACATGAAATCCATGGACATTGAAGTAGCCCACGAACAATTATGATTCCACTGTAGCCAAAAAGATTAATTGGTTGGATTGCAAAACAAAATCCAGTTTATGGATTGATATGTGATGAATGTCTGTCTGCCTGTTTGTGTATACTTGGATAGATCTGGGTTTTTTTGCATCAACATTTTGTTGAGCAGTTGAGCTTAGCTCTGTTGTAGATCATTTTATATTAGCAGCATACAATCTGAAAGATTTACACATTTGTACATGTTGAAGGTAGAAAATAGACGCTCTCAGAAAAATGGATTTCCTTGGCAGGACAAGACAAATAAGAACATTGTAGTTTTTGTACAAGTCAAAACATATTAACAGTACTTGTATATCCATCAATAGATTAAGGTTCTGTAGCATCAGCATTAAGAGAAAATAAATTTTGATGTGAATCGTTATATGCAGGAATATTTTTTTGGAGTAAGACCTCTTTTAATTCTATTTTTCAGTCCAAGTAATGTGCCATTGTGTTCAGTGGAGGAGATAAGCCAGTATTTACTGTCGGACTCTACGTGTAAGTGTGGTCTGGAGTGCCCTGTGATTGTTAGTAAGACGTTTAATTTTGATCTGTCAGTGGATTCTAAGGTCTGGAGTCTGGACATGACCAAGTCTTCAGAGGACCTGATGAATCTCTGTAACCACAGACGTAAAATTATCAACATGGCCACGGCATTCCACGGCTCTATGCTGACCGGTGTGGAGGAGGTGGGGAGCAGTATTGTGACCCAGGGCTCAAAGTCAACTGACAGTAAGTCTTTAAAGGATCAGTTATCAATTCATTTTAAAAATTCAGTTAATTGATGAGGTAATAAACATGATAAAAGAAATATCTAGAGGTTTAAATTAAATTAATTAAATGTTCCATTGATTGCATCTTTCATTGGTGATGATCCAAATGCTTAAGTTTTAATTTGGGAATTCAATCTTTTTCAGAAAGTAAAAGCAAAAAGAAACGAAGCAGAGCTGGTAGCTATAGTACACCTTATGACAGAGTCCGTGTAGCTGACCTGATAGCAGAAAGGGATAGACTAAGGTCCGAGGAGGAAACGCTGGCCAGGCAGTCCAGTAAGGAGTCCAGCGACAAGCCAGGCATGACCACTGTTGGTGTCCAGTCTCCACTGGACCTTGCAAAATCACCACCTCCTAACAGTTCCAAGCCAGGCCTTATGTCTCCTACAATACCCCAAACAAACCCCCTTCAGACTCGACTCCAGACAGTGTCAGACGCTTCACAGTTTTATCCTCCGCATTTATCTTCCTTGCAGTCTGTAGGAATGTTACCAAACACCTACACACAGACTATAGCCGATGCCATGAATGCAGCTAGAAGCAGCAGTGTTCAGTTACCAAGTCAGTCTCCAGCATATTACACCACAGGGAGTGTTCATCCTCAACCAATGGGCAATCTCCCGCCTTTAGGAAGCCCTCCCATGGGCCCCCATGGTTTCAACATGTTTTCTAACCCTGGCTTTGGGTTGCAGCTTGGTTACATGGACAAGAGAGGTAATACTTCCTATCCCATGCCCTATACCAAACCCTCAATGTATCGATTCACAAACCCTGCACTCTCAGACCTTATTGACCCAGCTTCGTGGACAGAGAAAAAGAAACCAAGACCTAAAAAACCAAGGGCTAAAAAAGATAAAAAGAAAACAACCACTGTGTTTGAAAGCGACACACCACCACCCAATGTGGATGTGAGTGTACTCAAAGATCAAGGACATGGACCAATACCCAAGGTCAAAACCTCTACTCCCTCCAGCCAGTTTCTAGATAACCCAACAGGGTATATAGCTGACCAGACATCCATGATAAAGACTACTCTAGCATCTAATTGTCAGGATTCAAAAGAAAACCCCAGCACCTCCCGAGTTTCTAGTGCATTCCCCACATCTAGTTCTTCCAATTTTGGAAGCGCTAGTGACAATCTTGATGTTAGTACAAACGTGGTGGTTCACACGTCTCAGACGGAGAGACCGGAGCTGAGTATTTCTATAACAGACACCACAATGAGAGCCCTGTCCATGAGTGATAACACTTTCACTGAGGATCGCTGTCATTCGTTGTCACCCAGTGACTCTAATGGAGAATGCCCAGCTGAGACGATGATGCCCACTTCCATTGTGCATCACACTGGTAAAGCAGAAGTTCCAAAAGTGGAAGTCAAAGTCTCTGAGAGCATTAAAACCACAGAAATTTCAAGTCTTGCAACAATACCAATGCAGGCACTCAATACCGTTAATTCTAAGCAGAGTGATGGTACAGTGTTACCAAATTTCAGCACCATACAGCAGTTGTTAGGATATAACATGTCCAATCAATTTCCTGCCAGTAAAATGTTGTCTGCTGCTGCCCGGGCTCAAATGGCTCAGAAGACCACTGTGTTACCAGCAGATTTAAACAGTGTTCAAGTGACTCAGCAGTTGCTGTCATCATTTCAGAAGAATTTTATGGAGAAACCTGGAGCCAATGTTGGTCTTGTAGCAAGTGAACAAGAAGCCCTGAAACTTCTTGCCCAGAATGCAACACTGGTCTCTTCAACCGTGTCAGAAATTCTACCAGTGTCACTACATAGCAGCTCAAGTGCTGGAGGTTTGAAAATTTCAGCAAGTGCAAATCCCACATTGTCTGTGGATTCTCAAATCCCAAGTGTCATGTTGCAATCAGGGTCTCAGCCACAAATCAGCACTGCAGTAACAAATGCTTTCACTGTTTTAAACAATACCCAGCAAACACCACAGCAGATCCTTAGTTCCCATAATGCATCATTACTAAGTACCCAGACGACGCCAATTGCATCAACACAAATGGTCTCACCACTTCCTGTGGGTAGTACCCAGTCATCTCAAATCACAGGATCACAACCAACTATGGTCCACACTCAAACTGCCCAGATTGCAGGAACGCAGCAAACCCCAATAATCTACACTCAAGCCAATTCAATCCTAACCACACAAACAACTCCCATAATACACACCCAAACTACACCAATTATTAACACACAGGCAACTCCAATCATGAACACACAAAATTCACAATTTTTGTCTGCTGTTGGAAATATTAATCAAAATGCTGTTATGTTATCCAAATCCAGCTTTGAACTGTGCACAGAATACCTCTGTGTTTAACCCAGTGATGAACCCCTCCTCTCTGATGATGCCAGGAAACCTCACCTATACACCAGAACAATGCATGCCTGCTAACTTTAACCTTGGGGGAGTTGGGAATCAGCAGATTATGGGAAATAACTCCAATGTTTGTATCAAACCTTTAGGACAGTTCATCAACATGGACACAAACCAGATCAAGCAGGCATTACCAACCCAGTCCTGTGATCTCTCCCAGAGCAATCTACCATCAGGGTTACCAACCCCACCAGGTCAACTGTTGGTCTTACCAAATCTTCAGATGCCTCTGGTCCAAGTGTTTGGTAATGGTCAGAAAAATGGAGCACCTGACATCAACTCTCTTCTATCACAGCTGCAGACAAATCTGGCACCCATGTTTAATGCACAACAAGTTTGGAACAATCTGACAACAGGCAGCAACTTGACTGCAATGCAGCTGCAAACTCTGCAACTTCAGCAACAGCTTCTACAACAGATTCAACAGCTCCAAGGTATGCAGTCTCTAATCAGCCAGTTTAATGCCGGTGATATGAGTAAGCTTCCCGCCCAGTTTCCTATGGAAGTGGACAGGAAGGACAGCAATGCTTTGTCCATGGTTACCATGGTGAATGATGTCTCCACGACAACAGAGTCACCTCCTTTGCAGAGTCAAGAAAATGATGAAGAATCCAACATGGAGGTAGGGTCAGAGGTCACCAGTACCCATGTTGGAAATGCTGAATCTCAAAATGTGGATAGCACAGGAGAGGAATCTCAGAATGCAGAAATGGAGGACAAGAGTTCAGACATCCAGATGGATTTGGATTCTGGAACATTACCAAAGAAAGAGCTGGAAAAGGACCAGGAAACACCAGAGAATGTAATGATAATAGAAGACTTCATGGAGAATACAGACACTCAGCATTCCAGTATAGAGGAGGAAAACTGCAGTGTTACCCCAGGGGTGTCTGAAGACTATGAAGAAAATTCTTTCCAAGAGTTTGTTGATGAAGGTGATTCAAGAATTCAGAGCAGCACACAAAGAATTCTGTCAAAAGAAGAAGGTTGTGACACAAGCTCAGTTAGAGTGTCTTTAAGTAAAGAAAGAATGCAACACAACAAAAAGGAGGGTAATGCTGAAGCAGAAAGTAGTATGTTAGAGAGGAAAAGTGATGTAGACACTGAGAAAAAGGCCAGCAGCATACAGGAAGAGAATTATAACACTGGTAATGACTATATGTGTGTGCCAGACTCCAGCCAAACTGGAGAAAACACCAGCAAGCAGTCCTGTGTTCCTCCTCTGGTGACAAGCAGTACAAAACATTCCAAAAACACAGTAGAATCCACCTCTGAGCCACCAGCAATCAAACAAGAAGGTAAGGAAACAATTCAACACAGTCAAATTGTACATACATATTCAGAATGCAGATCTTTAAAATTTTATATTTTATATACAGTAAATGAAATTCTGATGATCTTATTTTGTCACCGAAATAGCCAAGTAATGAAATATCAACTAGATTAGTTAAAGGAATTTCTTCCTTGTATTAATGGGAGATTGGCATGATAAAAGAGAATTTGCTGAGTGATTTGATGTTGTTCTGCAGAGGATTCCAACGTTACTAAAGGGGTTAATGGAGGGGTAACTTTTATTGAAGGAGACCTGATTTGGGGACAGATCAGGGGTTTTCCTTCTTGGCCCGGTAAAGTGGTGCCCCCTTGTGAGGTCATTGACCCGGAACCACTGGAAATGGGAAAGGTAAGCGGTTCCAAAGTGCAAAATTCAAAAAGCTGTCATTGGTTTTAGAAAATTTAATACTGTGTGCAGAGAAAATAAGAAATATTTATTTTATAAGTTACCCTAATCACCCAGGTGACCTGTTGCAATCTGTTTTCACCCATTGTCATGTTATTTGTTTTGTGTTTTGGACATCAGTTGTAAATATCTGAACATTTTCAGATTCTGTTAAACCAATAAACCAATTGCAACCAATTTTGGCATTTGGTATAACAGGGTAAGACAGACACATATACAGAAAATATCAATTCCTTTTTAGTGACTTCTAAACAGAAATTTCACTCAAATGTGTTTAGACCATTCAGAATAACTTGACAAACAAATTTTGTTGAAAACATATTTCTCTTCAAAAATTGTTTTTAAAGGTAAAGACATTTACTTTAAAGTGCATTCATAAACAATTAGGTATTGTTTAGTGTCTTTCAGGACTGAGACATTCAACAAGTTGGAGCAAGATCCTGTTTCCTCTTTTTTCATTTTTTGATATAATCTGTCAAAGTGAAAATTCATTCCGTGAATTTATAGCAATTGCTTGCTCATTAAACTTTTTATGTCCCTATGAAATGATGTATTTTTAGAATAGGAGTTTTAATTAGTAAATTAAGTTTTAAAAGATTTATTTGTGATGATGTTTAATTAAAAATATCGGGGTTTTTATTGGTTTCATGACAGGAAGATAATGAAAATTGTGCATATAATAATCATTATTTGAATATCAATGTGTCCTTACCTATATTTGTTGTCCTTGTCACAAATCTATTTCATTATTTCAAAGTCAAGTTCAGTGTTCACTCTTTTGTGTTTTCACTTTTCAGTTGAAGTCACTCGCTTCTAGTTAATGTATATAGCATTTAATAACAGAATTTTAGAGTTTGTACATCTTTTATACATGGATAAAGTATCTGCATTTAGATTTTGTGATGTATACATGAGTGTGTATTTCAGATCTGGGTGAAGTGGTATGGTGACCACACCTTTACTCAGGTGGAACAAGACAAACTGAAATCTCTGGAGAATGGACTGAAGGCGCACCAAAGACAGAAAAACAGGAAGTAAGATATGTTTACAACTTGGATTATTTATTTTCAGTGATGAAGTTTTAAGGCAATAGAACTGTAAATATAGAAACTGGCCTGTATGCTCATTCAAACATACATTCCTCTGTATCTGCTTGCTTGCTTATATTCTGAACAGTGTACCGGTCTAAAGAGTACCATTCAAAATGCACACATAATGTTTCAACGTAATTATATAAAGGATATTTAACATGTTTAAGATATAAAATAAATTTTTACTTGCCTTTCAATTAATTATGATGGCATTTCATACTTCATGTTTTGTTCTAGGGGTCGGAAGATGAATTCAAATCTGGAGGCTGCAATACAAGAGGCATTAGCAGATTTAGGTCAAATTACCGACAGCAATATTAACAGCAAGGGAAAGACAAGCAAGAAAAAGCGGGTCAGATAGCAGGAGCGAAGAAGAAGGGAGAATGCCATCTGATTTGTCTTAGAGTTTAGATTAAGAGAACCTATTAATTACATGTAAGCTACAGGAAGAATAATTAACAAATTGATTATTTAAGATTGACATACAAGTAAGGTTTATCGATCTTATTTCTATTCATGGTATTTTGCAATCATAATTTTTGTTTTGATTTCATTAATTAAAAAAAAAACGAGAATTAATAGCTTATTGACACGTTATTTTTTTTCAATTTTTTAAGGGGAATAAAAGCAACATAAATGTGAAATTTATTTTGAAAAAATACCATACATGCAAACAATAATGTTAGCATTTCTTTTGTTAATTGATCATTGATAAAAGCCCTTCATCTATGCATATAGTTAGTTTAAGTACAGAAAATGTACTGTTGCCAAAAAACGATATGAGAAATGTCTGTTTTGAAGATATTCTTGAGATAATGCATAATATGTTCTATATGTACTCTTCATACAATCTTGTTTCTCACTTGCATATCATCTTTGTAATGTACTCTTCATTCCAACCAATCAAAAATTGAAAATATTTTTTATTGAATTTTGCAGAAGTGAATTTATAAAAATACTTTGATACGAATTTACTTGATGAAATATATACATGTCTGTATATAATAAGTTCTCATACAGGGGATGTTCGTCCTGTTAGCTATTAATAAATATTTCTGATTTTTGATTGGCTGGAGATATAATAGATCTGGGAATTACTGGGTCCTTGCAGACCATTGGCTGTGATATGTCTACGAAAATGGCTATGTACAGATAAATTTGAGATATATATATTACATATATAAGTATCGTAATAAGGTGTGGTGTACAGCAATGCTTTCTACGCCTCAGTCTCGATGATTTGGAGTTGTACCATTGTACCACTTGCCTGCTTCCAGTTTAAAAGGGAGGCAACTGTTGAAGTGTATTTATAGAGCTCATAGGTCGTAGTTCAAAAGTGAAGTTTATTTGGGAATTGTCTAGAGCCAAAACTGATAAGTTTCTCAAATATGTTTTTCATGCATTCAGTCATTATACTCTTGTTTTGAATTTAATGTTTTAAACACTTTATTTCGGATTGAGGGTTACTGAAATCTAATATATATGTACAGTAAAAGGTTCTGAGAAACTAATTGATCTTATATATCTGTAAGAGGAACATAGTCAAAAGTCTTCAACAAGATTTGTAAAAGTTTATTTTGGGAATTTTTAAAAGTTTCCTTATGACTAAGATTTCCTAATAAGAAAATTAAAAAAATCTAGTTTTACTGTAGTTGCAGAAAGTAGATGTAGGAAAGCATCTATGGTGAAAGTATTTTTCTATGGAAAATACTGTTTAATAATGATATACTTAAATGTTTATCAAAATTATTCCATTATACATTGTAAATAAACTTTGTACAGCATTTAATTGTAGAAAACCATTATTTGTTATTCCTCAGCACCATATCTTCAGTGCGACCTTCTATGTGCCATGCTTGATATATATGTGTGTAATATTAATTATACTTGTGTTGTATAAAGTACTTATATTTACATTTTACACGGGAACCTTGTGTTGATCATAGGGTATATTTCTGACATTTTACATTTCTGTCTACTTGTGTTTTTTTTTTTTTGGTTGAAGGCTGTTGTTAATTTTTTGAAAAGAAAAAAACTCTCCTTGAGTGGGTTATTTTTGATAGATAAATTGCTATGTAATTTATTAGTTATATATAACAGTTACAATGGTACAGTTTATTTACCCTTATTTGTTAATACTACAGCAGAATGGAGCATTTTCAGCTTATAACTTTTTACATATACATATGTGTATGTAAATGTTTGTGTGAAGTTAAAACATTATTTGTGATAACTTTTTAGAAAATAATTTTAGGTTAATGTTTTTGGAGCAGGTTAACATTTTTGGTGCAGTTTTTGGTGTGGGCAGTTAACTATAAGCCCATATTTAAGGAAACTAAGTGCAGTAGGATGTATATACATTTTTTTTTTCATTAAAGTGTACATGTGTGCAATTTCATCTGATTTTTTTTTTTCAGTTTTGAATAGAGATATTTAGATGGAATTTTCATATTCTCATTTTATGTTCAATTTTTAAATGTGCACAAAATTAGGTAGAATTTTTTCAGTCTAACAAGTAGAAAAAGCAATTTTTTTAATTTCAGCAAATTCTCATGTTTTTCTTTTCGTGCATTTTATTGATTAGCAAAACACAATAAGGCAATGTTGTAGAGATATGTTGCGAATTTAAGCTTTCCTTGTTTTTGTTTGCTTTGTTTGTTGAGTCCTGTATGAGCAGGTAACAAGTGCTCATTTCTGTTATGTTTTACACACAAATAATAGTAGCTCAGGAATGGCCCATCAGATCGTGAAATTGTTGACAGTTGCTATGGTTACCACATGTTGAGGGTGGGTTTGATTCCTAGGTCTGTTTTTGTGAAGCAGAGGAAAACAAGTGCTTACTATTGTTGTTATTGGTAACAATGTTAAAGAAATGTACATTTTAAGGTTTGTGCAAATTTTACTTTTAGCATATTAAAATCATAATATATTGCTTTTGTGTGATCCTAGTTTCTTTACTGGCATGTGTTGGTTGAGTTGTTTTTCCATAAAATATCTGGAATATTGAAAGCAGTTTGAAACCAAAATATCTACTACAATGATGCTTACTGAAGTGGCAAAATTTTCCATTTTGAGCTTTGTTTTTGACACATCCATTTTTTCAGAAAGGTGGAAGCAACTTTTGTCCTTGCTTGTTTCAAACAAACATGTACTTGAAAAAAAAACAACGCATGTAACAAGTATATAGGTACAAATGCATTTTCTTTACTACTAGTATATAAATTTAAGTACATAAGCAGTAACAGAAAATGACAAAAGGTAGAGGAGTTTCATTTGTCTATCTGTCCAACAGCTAAATTCCATAATTAACAAATCAGAAAGTCAGTCTACATAACAAACACTGAGTAAACGTATGTGGCAACGCACTTTGAAAAAATTACGCACTTTGAAAATTTTTTTCAAAGTGCGTTAAATTTGGGACCAACTCAACGCACTTTGAAAAAGTTTTTCAAAGTGCGTTAAGAGTGTACATCAATATATTTTACCATGGAGACACTTAACGCACTTTGAAAAAAAAAAATCATATTTTTAGTAATGGAAAGATTTTATTTGTTATTTATCTTTCAAAAAACTTATCAATTGATTTACTTCGAAAAGATGACTGAATTGGACAAATCTTTATCTTTCCAATGCATAGACAAGGTAAAAGTTATGGTTGAGGGGTCAATAAACCAAAAACTGCATTTTCAATGCTTATATAACATTGTATAAACCAAACTTGCACAAATGCTGCGGTCTCGAAGAGCTATGCTCAAAACATTTATATAATTATGTATTTACCTAACTGGTATGACGTTGAAAACTTTAAATATTAAATTTTAATTAAGAAGATGAAAACTTTAAATTTTTTATGTACTATTTAAAAGTATGACAGAGAAAGAATTACTTTTGAAAAATATTTTCATTTTTGGAATATATAATTTAAGTTGGTTAATTGTGTGACTTTGCCCCCTTAACACCTTTACATCTACTATTCAAAGAGGTGAGCTCTTAATCTCTGATGTTACCTACTCTTTTTTTTTTATTTTATGAAAACCTTTAATTTTTTAAAACGTCAATTTCCTTGAGTGGGTTATTTTTAAAAAAGTTATAAAAGATATGTAAATTATAAAGTTATATAAAAAATGTCAAATAAATCCTGTTTATTTACCCTTATTTGTTAATAGTACCTGTGATTATTTGTAAGAATTTTCAATCTTTACATTTTTTTTCAAATGCATATATGGTATGTAAATGTTTGTGTGAATTTTTTAAAACATTATTTGTGATTTTAACTTTTTGAAAAAAATTTTCAAAGTGCGTAATTTTTCAAAGTGCGTTTTAACAAATGTATCTGATCAATACAGATGTGGTGGTAACTTCAATTAGCCTAGCAGCGTACTGTGTACATTGGGTGAATCTCTCTCTCTCTCTCTCTCTCTCTCTCGTAACTTCACATTCTTCTACAGATTAACATGAGCATTTTTTTAATTGTACATCATGTATTCTACAATGTATGCTTTATTTGACCCAGCAATTTTCATATTCTCAAGGATTAAGGAGGAATGTTCAATTTTTAAATGTGCACAAAATTAGGTAGAATTTTTTCAGTCTCATTTAAGTAGGTTAAAAAAATATTGTTCGTTATATAACGCGAAAGTTTCGCGAACGAACGCTTACAATTTGCGTGCATTTACGAATTTTTCGCGTTATAACGAGAAAAAAAAAATTCAACCTAAGAAAATGGGCTCACCATTTCAAAGTTTGCTATCTAACAATTATTACTAAAAATCAAAGTACTGAAAGTACTGTTAGACGGAGGCTTCATGTATGAGAGAACACAAAAGAAATATATATGTCATACATTGCTGTTATGTTATTACACACAAATAATGTGTAGTTTTTTTTTCAATTCAACATTTTTTTCATGATACTCCAAATTCATGAGGTTTTTGGGATATTTAATTTCATCTTTGTAATGTAAACTTGGCCTTGATTAAAGTTCACTGTTATTTGTGAGATACTTTCAATATTAAACCTTTCAAAGTTGTTGTAATTGACTAACAATGTTAATAAAACATTTTAAGGTTTGTGCAAATTTTACTTTTAGTCATATTAAATATATATGGAAAATATATTGCTTTTGTGTGATCCAGTTTCTTTGATGGCATGTGTTGGTTGAGTTGTTTTTCCATAAAATACTGGAATATTGAAAGCAGTTTGAAACCAAAAAATACTACAATATTTGATAAATGAGTGTTTTAATTGTGGCATTTTGATGTTGCCCCTTCCCTGACCTCAAACTTTTTTCAGAATTTCTGGATTCAGCACTTTGCCTCAGCCTGTGTTTCATATTTCAAGACATCTTATTTAAAAAAAAAGACCTACTGTTAACATAATTATGACATAGCTACCAAAATCAAAATTTTCTTTTGTAATAATGTTATATAAGCTAACAGTACAAAAGAAGCAGCCAGGTAAACATGAACAACATAATATAGTACAGTTTGTCTTAAACCTTTGTGATACAAAATGGGGTGACCTATAATTGAAAGCAACACAGAATTTTCTTTAAGTAATACAACTTCATTAACATGCAATAAATGTATGTGGCAGAACACAATTTTTTGAGTGGAATAAAATTACTTTCTTACTTTATGTAAACAGAACAATCAAGTTCATAAGACTTGCTTTTTCACAAGTTTAAATTGTTTTTGGAGAAAAGTATTGCTTACAATTAAAAATATATCTTGACAAATTTGACAACCAATATTTCTGGAATTATTAAATGTAGTATTTTATCATATGACAGATTAACCCAAAAAATGTCTTTCTTTACTCGTATACCAGTGGAAATGGTTGCCCTTTTCAGTTTATCTGTTTAAAAAAAAAAATGAGACATATTTTTAGTAAGAAAAGTTATAAATATATTGTTATTTATCTTTCAGTTAAAAAAACTTTACCAATGATGTAGGTTAAAAAAAATTGACATGAATACCAATGATCAGAAATACATGTAATCTTGTATATAAAAAATAATGAAAGTTTGGGATAACAAAGAGGTAAAACACAAGTATCAAATGCAAAAAGGATAAGCTGCATATGACAATAAGACAACTTATTTCAGAAGATATGATTTTTAATTATTAATTAGGATATTATGTGATAAATCATGTAAATCCTATGAACCAAGATTTGGGTTGTTTGCTACGTTACAAAACATTTTATATAATATCAGAGTTGTTTATTTCTCTCTATCTAATGTGACGTTGACCCCAAACTTCAAACCGCTTGTAGAAAGTTAAATCTATTTTCATGTGTTTCCTAAAATTATACATAATATCAAATAAACAATTCAAAACTAGACTGTTAATATTCCTACATATAAAAATACTATGCATTTGTTTATTCATGATCCTTGTCAGATTAAAAAAACTCCATGAAACCTATTGATGCAAGCGTCAAAAATCGGCCGCAAACCAATTTATTGGTCCTTTCAAAAAGAAATTAGAAAAGGAATGAAAATGAGATTAAAAAAAATCAAGCACAAAAAATTCCATTAAAACTGAAATGCTTGATCTATTATTAAAATATCTTATATTTATATCATAAAACATTTGCATGCGACATAGCAGGATATACATTACAGGTACATCTGCGTCTCCACACTTAGTTTGATACACAGGCGAATTCTGGTGGAAGTTTTTACAATTAAATATAAAACTAAAGTTTAAACTTATCTGTAACTAGAGATAATTTTTACTTTAATAAAAGAAGCAATTGATAAGTGGGATTCCTCGATCACTCTCCGCGGATGTTAACCCCCCCCCAACTCCCTCTAGATCCGCCACTTCATTTCTTCTCGTTCTTCTTTTGGTGTGAGAACCGGCGGGAAAAGGCTCGGCATATTGTAAAACATGCTTTATCATCGTCTGTTGGAACAAAATCTCCTAATATTCTGTCTGATAAAAAATTAATAGTAAATCACATTTTTTTTTTTACATATTCCGTAGGAAATGTATTTATTACACGTCATTTTAAAAAATATTAGACAAATCCTGTTTTTTAGAAAAAGTAGAACTGTTTGTTTATACTTGTATGTGACGCGATCTTTGTTTTAGACTATGCCTATCCTTGCGGTCGGTGTAACGCAGAGTCGCTCTAAAAATAGAATTCTCAAGGTAATGAAAACAATCTCTCTCTCTCTCTCTCTCTGGGAAATCTTCCTGTTTACATTCCATGGGCAAGACAATCCCTATACACGGAGGCATTTTGTCATACAGCCTCCATCATGTATTCTGGAAAATTTAAACATTTTTATTTGGCCCAGCATAGGCGTCACCTTCGATGTATTTCTTGTTATGAGAATTACCTGTTATCGTAGCAACATTTATACACAGATCATTATCCTAGCATTCATTATCAGTGGGGGAGGGGGCGATGCCCTTTGTATTAATTAAAACTTCTCACATACTTTTGGGGGTCAGGATGATTGAATTTTTTGAAACATCAGTCTCATTTATTTATCAAATTGGTAAACATTGAGTTTTCTTTCTAATAAGGTATGTGTCAATTGTCTGTTAGATATCTAAAGGTGGGTTAATCAGAAATGATAGAAATTGATAAATTGAAAGATTAATAACGTTTATCTGGAACCGGTTGAGGAGTGTCGTTAGAACCTTAATGTAGATATTTGATTAATTATACGACTGATTAGACAGAAAATGTATTGATGTCCAGATATATGAAGTATGGGTTGAGATATCAATTCTTATTAAGGACATCTTGTCTGAAGAAGATGGCGTTGCTTACTCAGTATTTCTTCTTAAGTAAATCGAGGTTCATTAATTGTCAGGGAGAGAGAGAGAGAATGTATACTGAGTATTATATTGCTATATCAAGTTTGAAAGATGTCTTGGGGCATTTATTTCTGTATTAAATTTATTAATATTAAAAAAAACAAAAAAAAACAAGTATTTTGCTCGTGTACAATGACAGATATTCAAGCTTGAAACTATAAAAAGATTACTCAAGTAAAATTATAAAATTAGCGTACTCAAACACATTGTCTCAAACCACGGTTTGGAGTCCGCAGGGAAGGATCGTACATTTTTGGCCGTGGTTTGCCACGACAACTTTTAAACGCAACATTCCTAAAACTGAAGAAATGGGGTTGGAAGGTGTATTAAACAACCGTGTACCCTCTAGTCTAATATTTTTTTTTTTCAAAATACATCTAGTCTCTTCACAGCTATCTCTAAGTCTTTTGTAAGCTGTTGCTGACCAATACTGGTTTTCACAAACACGATGAAGACCATGGAAACCAGAAATATCGGTAAAAGAGCTATATACCTAATACACCGTTTTGTAATGAAAAGAAACCGTATGGAATAAGAATACATTGCGAACATGCTAATAATGTTTTGACTCCTAGGTTACATCCATTGAAGCACTGGGAGATCAAGTCATGAATTATCATTGATGTATAGAGGGCGGCGGCGGCATTTCTTCCATAATAAACAGCTGTCCGCATCAGTAAGCTTGTTTTGGTCCTCTTTAATTATAGCAATGACGGGTATAAATGAACGTCCTTGTATAACGTATTCAATAATGCGAGTGCAACGAGTGTCGGTACTTGACGTTCGATACTCCAATGTATACCAAATGATTTGTCAACTGCTTTGATTTGTTGCACAAAGAACATGCAACATGATCTTGCTTTATTCTTGTATTCCTTTATCGAGCCCTGGTCCCAGCATTTGTACCCACTACGCAAAGAGGTTGCTCAAATGTCAACAAGCCATTGAAAAACTTAGCTCCAGACATTGGACTGATAGATTTTAACTGTAATGATATACGTATTTATCTACTGATAACTTTTCGATCCAGCTTGTTCGAGAAATAAAAGCAAACAAGGATCGAAGAATAGGCGAATAATCTAACCTGGCTTAAATGCCTTATACATTCTTTACAAAAACCTAAATCCTGTCGTTTTATGTGACATATTCATAGCTCTTCAGGTAAAGAGGAGTCTTTCTATGGAAGAGTTGATTTCAACACAAAAATTTCATTGTTGTCTTTCACTGCGTGATTTCATTGTGGAACATTTTTGCATGTTGGTTGACTTTAGACGCTAAGGTGTCAAAACACGTATCTTGATTCCGTTAAAACACAGGAAACTAATTTTTCTGCCCAGCAGTTTTCATGTTTTGCTTTAAGAAACCGAAAATCGATGCGAAGTGTTTCTTAGCCATGTCGGGAATTTCTCTAGAATCTCGGGATTTACCTATGCCGCAGTTTTAGTCAGGATTTGATTGACAAATAAGAAGGACTTTGTTTACATCTGGGGTTTGCTTAGATACGCGACATCCAGAGCTTTATTACAAGAATGGTCTAACTAGCGACACAACGGTGTGTAAGTATTGACATTTTCATTAGTAACTTTGTCGAAGATCAACAGTGAAGAGCGCTTGTCCCTGACTTTTAAATGGTTTCAAACCCCTATAAGAAAGCATCTCCACTCTAAAAATCACTGCTCAAAAGATTTTTCGCGGTGGTGTGTGAAAATATTTGATATAGAAAGACGAGAGGGAGGAAAAGTATAGATTATTGAATTTTATATACACATTGTGATTGGGAATCTGCCAGAAAAATGATGGAGGATCGAGAATATGGGGACATGGACGTTCCCAACTATATGAGGGGAGCTAGCAAAGGATTCACCACGCATTTCTATATCAACGGAGATGAACATTACCAGAGCAAATCTCTGCTAGTCAACCCAAAAAGATATAGAAACTTTGACACGTTTCTGGACGATGCAACACGGTCTTTGAATCCTCGATTTGGTGCAATTAGGAATGTATATACCCCATTAGGAAAACATAAGATTTCGAGTTTTGATGATTTGAAAGAAGATGGGCAATATGTAGCAGCAGGGGTAGAGCGCTACAAGAATATTGGAAAACCGTAAGTACCCTGTAATCATTGTATTGTTTTAAGAAATTACATGATCAAATTAGGTAATGCATTAAATCTAAAAAATCGAAATGTGTAGCTGGAACACAGCTGAATTTTTATTGGGTCATTCCCAAATTTTGACTGATAAATTTCTGAAGCTAGTTAGAAAGAACTTTCCATTATTATAAACTTTGTTTTGACAATATTAAATTCAGCTGAAGAAATTCCTTAACAACCTTCAAAATACATGTCAAGTAACAGTAAATACTAGAACAGTAGTAAATACAAATTGCATAATGGTAAACAAAAACTGAAGACCGAAAACATAATAATATATATTATTAATTTGTGCATGGAAACTGTGTTTAACTTCGCGAATATTTTATGTTTTTTTTTCCAATCGAGTCATACAACTTAAATGAAAGTTATGTTTAATGTAAATTATGATTATTTCTGTTTGTTTGTTTAAACGAATTGATTTATCTCCATCCTATACAAAAAGCCCCTTGTAATGAGATTAAATTTTCCAGTAGACTTTGCAAATTAAATTATATCAAGTAACAATGCACTCTGTAGTCGGTCTCTATTTCAGATTTGGGATTGAATCCCTAATTTATGCAATTCAACGGTCGAAGTTACATGATATTGTTAATGAAATTTCTGATTTAAAGGCAAAAACTATTGTTCCCGGAGACAATTTATCTTATAATGCTCCTGACTTTGCCTAAGACACTGATAGCTGTGAAAGACTAGAATATCTTCTAAGTTCGATGCTAGGGTAAAAAGACATCCAAGGGGTGTCATTGAACAGAATTCTTGGTAAATACTTTTATATCCACAAATTTGCAAAGATATACTTACCGATATTGTGTATGTGTTGTGTGTACGTATTTTAAAAAATGAAGTTAATTGATTTGCAGTAAGAGCCACAAACAAGGTGTTTGCCAAACTATGCAAATGTAAGATAAAAACTAAAGTTTAAACGTTAAATTAAAATCAGTTCATATTCTTGACCCAGCAGGTACTTGTAACAACTTTGTTTTAGTGTTAGTATATACATTTTGATTGTCCCCTCTCCTTTATAACTTATGAAGTATTTACTCTGACAGATAAGTTAAATTCCTAGGAATAGGTTATGATAAAGGTTAGCTGTAAAAGCATACTTCTCACGTTTACCAAAGATAGTGATGCACAAGGGAAGACTCTGTGTACTACGAGCCAGTGTCTATCATTCCAAATAATTGAGGGTTTAAAGCATATAAAATCGGTGTATTAAAATCCTATTCATCAAATTTTTATGCTGAATATTGAATGAAGGTATATAATTTATTACTTAAGAAATTTCATTTCGCTTTGACATTTACATGTATAGTGAGACATGCCAAATAGCTTGATGCACACGATTGGCATCTTTACAAAGACCAGTGTTCCTTATTATTTGTATAGTATGAATACAGCATTCACTTTCAATTTGGGCTGCTATTATGTATACGTTACCAATACGATAAAGTCTCCTTTTTTAAGTATCCTCAAAGAACTTTTTAATAAAAACAATATCTTGAGCGAAGACCTTTGCTGAATGTGTGATGGATTTACAAATATGCATTAGGATTTTTTTTTTGTCTTTATACAGATCGTTAAATATTTTCTTAATTGTTTCAGTTGCTTCGTCAACCAAGTTTTGGGCGGGATAGACTTTGAAACTATTTGGGCAGAGCATGATTTTTTTTAAAAATGAATTTCCTCCCGTCATTGGGTTGTTATTTCCTGTGTTTGTTCGCGTTCCTTATAACTGCTTTGATTTGAGGTCTGTTTGTCGACATGACGACGTCTTGTACGATTGCCTGCTTTGTTGATATGACAACATTAGACATGATTGTCCCCCCTTCTAGCTCATTATCGCCGAAAATGGTCGCTATTATACTGTGTAAACTAAGAGGCTGTGTCGGAGAAATGATTGCACGCATCGGAAACGTTGTCGGAAAGAATCAATTTTTACAATGCTGTTTGCACATATCTTGATCAAAATTTGGAGGATCTAATTAAGCGTCAGATCGATTAAGAGTTGACGGGCCATAAAAGAAATCAGAAATTATATGGTACCAGGGATTCCAAACATAATTTTAACAGCCATTTTCTTTCTTTTCAGCAATATATCCCAACCTAGTAGGAATTTCTTTAAATATTTGTCGTTTAAAATTGTTATTTATCTCACCTGAACTAGTTAGTAAAGGTTCAAATTTCCCAAATGATTTTTATGTTCCAATGAAAAATTGTGACCCCGTATTATAATTCCTACTCTAAGTATCTCTGAATCCACACAACATGGGGGTGGTTCTAAGAAAATTTTCACATATATAAGTTTCCTCTTTCCTGGCCGAGTAGTTATTTGGAAAATTTTAATGACCCTGCTTTATTTTTAAACTTTTTATCATCTCACTTTTGCAACAAGACAGCCCTTTGTTTTAACAATGTCCAGCCCCCTTCACCAAAGGATGCCAACTTTGGTTAAACTGATCTTGTGGTAAGAAGAAGTCAAAAACATAAATACTAAGTATTTCGGACGGACAGACAGATAGACAACATGTGATGACTGATAGGCCCAAGTAAGCTAAAACATCGAGGGTATAAAAATAAATATCTTTTATATAAACACACATTGGGGCCACTTCTGGATTTTAGGGCTACTAGAGCTAGATTTCAAAGGTTTCTGTGTAACATATACTTATGTTCACTTAATTAGAACAAACTGAAATCATACATTGCATTTGCATGCAAATGCTTCTTTATAATTTGACTTTGTATCAATTTAAGAAGGTGGATGCACTGTTGATTTTGGTCTAGATAGAAATCTCTTGATTTTTGTTTGGATACATTCGATTCCTGATTTCTTCCACAATTAAGTGATCTCCAAAAGGCTGAGACGATTGGGAATAAAAATACACCGTTTAATTGCGATTTCTTGTCAGATTCCAACACTAATAAGGAGTCATAAGTTCTTTAACCCAAACAATTTACACCATCAAGTATCAAAGAAATCGTTAGCGATATCCAACTTGTGAAGGTATTACGCAACAATACTCTAATCTCCGATAGGAAACATTATTCTTTAGACCAATATTTACCCAAGTTCGATTTCTCCTTTAATATGTTTTTGTTGGCTTCAGACACTTTCTTTCACTCTATTTCAACCATTAAAAAGCCAACTAGAAAGGAACGTACTTCCTGTAAATTTTCAGGAAAACTATAGAAACGTTTTGCGGTCTTTTATTTGAAGTTTTTTTATTCCCTCAAAGAAAAGTCTGATTAAACGAAAGAAATGGGATTATGTAATCCCCCCAAACGAAAATTATTAAATGTGATTTCTATAAGAGAAGGTGAAAGTAGAATAAATATGTTTAGTAATTCCCTTGACAGGAATTTCTGAATGTAAATGAAGTTATTGAAAGATTGTAGATGTAGCACTAAGGTATATGAAGTGCTACATTTAGCCTTAAATCTATATAAGTCATATACGCCTTATCCATTTGTCAACGTCGAGAAATCCTGGTTCATTTTTATAATTAAATCGAAATTAATCAAGATATTAATTAACCTGTAATTGGAATAACTGTCAAAACATAACAAATCACCATGGATACAAAACCCGGTGCTCTAAATCGATATGATATGATGACGTTTTATGAATTGTGGTACCTAATTCCTCCCTGTCTGCTGTGGTTATTTTATTAACGTGGGTAACGTGAACCCTTTATTGTGGTCTTACCGCGAACTCATTAAGGTCCCTCACACATTTTCATAAACCTTTTCACATGGAAAATATAACGGATCTTTAATTAGATTCTTAGTTACCTTTAACAGGCAAAAACAGCTGCTTCCAAGTATATAAAGCATGTTTCTTACTAAAATAGTCATTTTTGAAGGGAGAAAGCAATCAGTTGTGTATAGTAGTTAAAAAAAAGATACTCTCTTAAGATCAAATTTACCGTTTTAAATACCGAAATGTTATTTGAATTGTTGATGTCAAATTTTAAAAGGCAAGCACTCGTTTTTGTTCCACAACACACTTTGAACCATAAGCACCCAAATTAAATCTAGATAAAATATTTTAGTTTGGGACGTCATATTCAATCCAGAATATACTTACAGAAAGTCGGGTTTGTTGTAACCTTAACCGAAATATGGCCATTGTTTGTTAAATGCCTTAAGTTGTAGACGTGTTTAGATTATACAGTGTTATTTAGCTGAATTTTATTAAAATCTGGTCCCACAGTTGAACAAACTTAAACATAATTTAAATCTGGTTCCATAAAAGCACATAAATCTGATACTAAACCTGTCGCTCATGTCAGGGGCCTCATAGACAGATCTCTTACATAAGGAGAATCCGAAAGTTCTTAAAATGAAAGAAAACCTGGATTAACTTTAGTGATAATTAATTAATCTGATGTCAGTACACCTATATAAGTATTTGTAATACTTATCCTGTAATTAAAGATTTTATCTACTTCGATACTATGTACGTTGCTATGGAAACGCCTAATTGAAATTTGGTCTCTATTTAGCGCAAAAGTTTTAAAGTGTCTGTTTTTCTGTATGTTGCCAGTAAGATGGTTCACGCAGACGTAAATCTCAACTTTACAATTAAGAATGGTAGGCCTGTAGTTACATATTTAGGATGTATATGCCAATATCGGTATCATTTGTCGGTTGGTGTCCAAATGGCATTTTTTGAGAAAGGCATAAGTTGTTGAGACCCCTTTGAAAAATTTTGTCCTCTATGTATTTGTCTTCACAAATTTTTGTTTTTGATCGAATTTGTGATACGTAAATACAGGCATTTTGTATTATATTTCTGTCGTCGGCACACCTGAAAACCATTCCAAGAATTTTCAGTAATGTCTAAGTTAATCTGAAAACAGAAAAAAGCTATTGCATGATTTCAAAATCGACGTCATAACAAAGTGCATATTGTGAAGACTAACTGTAAAAAATGTTATTAAGAACTTGTGT